GAACCAATACCCCTAAATAATACAGAGTCATATAAGCCAACATTACCTCAAGAAAAATAGCACAATTACAAAGAAAACAAATCTAGAACCCTTGTAACATACCACATGCAGGCAAAATGTTCATCATTATCCCTTGCCCCCACCTCATTGTACACATGACAATCAACATCCTAAATCTGATATCATAATTGTTCTCACTGGCTTAATATGAAGTATTTTTGCATCTCTATTTTTTCCTAAAATACATATTTTTAAGTTTACTTGACTTTAGCTTTTCAAACTGTATCATGCTGTAAAATCATCTTTGAAGCGCATAAACTTTTTTTAAATAGATTTATTTTTTTATATTTTGGCACACAAGAGCTGGGGTATAGGCCAGAGGTGTGGGGATTGAGAGAATTCACCAGAGACAGAGTGGGTAGCAGAACAGGCAAATATACTGAAATACACTGCTAAGGGGAGCAGGGGGCAAGACAGGAAAGGTCTTCTGCGCTATGTGGATTAGCTCCCTGGCTGGGGATCAAACTTGTGCTACAGTGGCTGCCTATGGCTACATAGTGCTAAGACTTAACTCCCTGTGCCACCAGGAAGGACCTGAATGACATAACTTTTAAACTTAACGTGTTTTTATGTTGTGTATTGTAAAGATTCATTCATGTTGGCACAAGTCAATTTTGACTACTATGTAATATTACCTTATACTGACATACCACTATTTATTTATTACCATTTTCTTTCATTGCCCTGTGTCATTTTTACCTTTACTTTTATGAATAGTAGTGCTATGAAATATTTATGTGTGTGAAAGAAACTTTCTTGAGAATATGACTATTAGTGCAAAGTCATATGGATTTTCAAAATTCAGAGATAATGCCAAACTATTACCTGATATGTTATTACAAAAACGTAGAGAAGCATCATGTCTAACAATTAGTATTATTAGCTTTTTAAATTTTTAGCAATATGATGGGATAAAATGTTATTTTTGCTGTGGTCTGTACTTCCCTGTTATTATATATTTTTCCTAAGTTATTTACTATATGTTTCATTTGCTAAAAGTATTTATTTATGTCTGTCATTCTTTTTCCTATTGGGTTATTTGGGCTTCTTTTATTAGGACCTACTTATGTATACTTGATAGTAATCTGTTAGGTACATGTTCTTTGAATATCTTCTAGTTTGTAACTTTTCTTTTTACTTTCTGAAGGTATATTTTTTTAAAGATCTATTATTTATGCATACATGAACTGGGGTATAGGCCAGAGGTGCAGGGGTTGGGGGGGTATTGAGAGGATTCACCAGAGACACAGCAGAGAACAGAATAGGCAGATTAACTGAAATACACTGCTGAGGGGGAGTGGCAGGCAAGACAGGAGAGGTCTGCTGTGCCATGTGGGTCAGCTTCCTGGCTGGGGATTGAACTCGTGCTGCAGTAGCTGTGGATAGCTTCATAATGATGGCAGTTAACCCCTTGCACCACCAGGGCCTGTAAGGTATATTTGAGGCCCTGTAAGGTATATTTGAATGAACCAACTTCACAATTTTAATATTATAGCAAATTTATCTGGATTTTATTTTATAATCAAAGTTTTTGGGTAGTGTTTTAGAATTTTTCCTTAATTCATGGTTTTATAAACATCAAAGGATCAAAGACACTGTAACACTGTAAGACAAACCCTTGAAAGCAGACCACAGGTCTGAGATATCCAGGAAGGGAGGGAGATGGAGAAGAGGAGGCTAAATTTTTTTCAACCGTAAGTTTCAGCTTTGTTATTGACATTAATAATTCCAAAATTTATTGTGGTTTATGACATGAGTTAGGCATTCAATTTCAAGTTTTCCACATGGAATACCATTTCATTTTCAGCTCCATTTATTAAACAACCCTTCATTCCCCCACTGACCTGCACGCATTGATCTGCTTCCTCTGTCGTACACTGATGTTCCAAATGTGTGTGTATGTATCTCTAGAGTCTCTATTCTGTCCCTATGGACAATTTGCCTATCCTTTGTGTTTATTTACTGCCAATACTACAGTCTTGATTACTCTTATTTTATAGGACAGCTATATTATTGTCCCTTCAGAAGTATCCTAGGTATTCTATAATCTTTAACATTCCTTTAAAAAAATAGTATTTTCTTCCTTAGCTGTCATTTCTTACTTTTATATTTTAAAGTTCAGCTTAAATACCAGACTCTGGAAAGCTTTACCTAAAACCCTAAATACAATTTACTCTACTCAAAGCATCCACCTTCCTCATACTAACACACATTATACCCATTATGCTTTGTTTTAAGTTTTAAATTACATACAAGGCAGAAATGTTTACTTAATTGTTGACTATGAGCCCATAATAGTAGGCACATCACCTCCTTTTATCTCCAAGTCTTAGCACATAGTAGTCACTCAAATAACTTTTTAGTCACTTCCTTCTTCAAGGACAAAGCCAGGAACTGTCCCCTGTTCTAGACCTAAGTCAGCCAGGACAGCAAATCCTGGTAGAACCACATCCAAATTTTTCATGCATCTTCACAGCATTTAGCAGATACTGATAAAGTTCTGTCATGAGTCAATACCTTAAAAATAGTTCAAAATTTAGAACTAGAAAGCATCTTCGAAACTACTTAGCCCTAACTCATTGTTTTAATAATGGAGACATTGGTACAGAAGTCATTTTTATGTCAAAAAGTTTGGTTTTAACATATTTAGAACATGAAAGAAAATTGAGTCAAGTACACTTTGCATAGAATCATTTATCTGAAAATAAAATGTTATTTTAAACAATTGGCACACAGAAGGAGAAAAATAAATACTGGATGGTTTCACATATATATATAGAATCTAGAGAAACTAAGCAAAGGATCAGACAAAGAAACTGTAAGAACAATCCTGGAAAGCAGACCATAGATCTCAGATATCCAGGAAGCAAGGGCAGGGAGAGAGAATAAGAGTAAAAAATGGGGGGAGAGGAAGGCACAATGGAATATGGTGGAGACCTATGGGTGCTTTGGTGGTGGGAAAACTATGGTGATCACACCCAAAGGCATAAATCCTACACTGTGAAACAATAAACCAGGTTGTTTAAAAAAAATAAATACATGGCACAAATTTCTAAATAAAGTCATATTCTGAAGTAATAAGAACCAACAGAAAGCAAAATTAAAATCCTACACTCATTTCCACTTATTCAAAGACAAAAATTAAAGTTCTATAAATACTTAAAAATAAAGAGAATATAGTTTAATTTTACAATTTAAGTGTAAGTCACTATCGTTTTGCCTTGCATTAAATTTTGCATTTTGTGATTAAAGTCAAGCATTAATGACCTCAGTGAACAAAACCATAATTTTTTGGCAATGCATAAAAGGTGTTCAGAGTTTTGCTTAATCAGGTAACTTTTACAAACAACCTAGATGTCTCTATTCAACAAATGATATAGTGATGACTCCAAAATAATGTGTTCTATCAAAACACATTTCCACTTTCAACCATACAGCAGCTCAAAAGATTCTAACAAAGAAGTAGACAATGAACACAGACTTATTCTGGGATTTTAACCAAAGATCAGCATATCAATTCTCATGATCACTTATCAAAAACTGATGGACTCTAAAACTTTTTCTCTTTAAGTAATTCTAGCGTAAAAGCATAGAAAAGACCCCCATATATTAAATATCTAAATGGCTCCAGGCTCAGTCACTTCCAAAGTCCTTTCTCTTTCCAAAGTACTTTATAGTAGTCAAAAACCACAGTGAAAGAGTTTGACTCATTCTGAAAAGAGGAAGATAACCAGAATTTCTCCAATGGAGCAAGAGCAATATCACAAGCTTAAAACAAACTCAAGATGTCTGAAATACTCATTTAACAAAAAGTTAACCTATGCAAATGCTCTTCTGTATTTCCCTAAACTTCACACAACCATAAAGTATCAATGAAATTCTAATTAACAACTTCAAAATTTTCTGGGACATTAAAAGCAAATTACATTTATTTAATAAACACAAATATTAACTAGTAATTTAGAATCATTCTTCCAAAAGGCATAAACATTTCAGCTGGGACTCAAAGTTTTTTTTTTTTCATACTTATAAAGAATACTTTTGCTAAGCATAGAATTCATGTAAACTAGATGTCAAGAAAAAAATGTTTAATTCCATGAGACTAAAACTAATTTCAAGCACCGTTAAGTACTTTAGGAGTACTCATTTACTAAGAATATGTCAAAAATATATTTATGGATCCAGAAATCAATAACAAGCTTAAAGAAAATTATTTGGCATAACTGTAGAAATTGAATCTTAATGATTTTACTTACTAAATCACCATTAATACAATTAGTTTTATTTCTTTAGAATTCACTCTTCTCTATTAATTGAATAGAATAGACAGTCCATAGAGATGGAAATATTGAATTAAAGTGACTTTATAATACACTTGAAATTATTATTTACATTTAACATAGGGCAACAGTCTGGTGGCCCATAGGCTAAATCTGGCCACCAACACGTGTTTTGTTCAAAAAATTGTGTTTGTTCTTTATTGCTTCTTGAAGTCTTTGCACAGTTGCATTTTGTTTTTCCCTCTTATGTTTTGTGCTTGGTCTCTAAGGGTTTTTGCTTTTGGAAGACAAAACTTAAAATTCTGTCCAATTTGAATGTTCACTGCCTTGTTCTTATCAGCCAGTTACAGAATGCTGGAATTATCAGAATTGGATGGTACCTGAGAAGTTAGCTAATTTGTTTCATTTCTTCCAATAAGACATCTGAAGCCAAAAAAAAGTAGACTAAATACTAAGTAGTTGGGAAGTGACCGAGCCCACAATCATTTATGTAGTTAATGTATGTCTAAGCCCATTGTTAAAAGTACATTAATGCTTCTGCCAAAATGTTCTTCTAACTAAATAGGCTTAACAAGCTCCTATTCCAAAGTATCATGTTTTGTCAAAAGTCATCACCATTCTCCTCTCTAGAAGAGTAACGTTTGTTTCATAAGCACTTACCCCTGAGTGCAGGTAGCAGGGATCTTTCCTTCTTATCATCACATTTGTTGCATTCACTGAAGTACAGTAGTAAGAAGACATCAACAAGAACCCACATCAGTGAAGTGGCTAGAACCACCTTGCAGTAAACAAATCTCCTCATGTCTTTCCTTGATTTCTAGTTAACAGAGATCAAAGACAGGTGCTACTGTGATTAATCCAAGCCACAGGGTGAACTCCAGGATAAAAACAGGATACATCCCACTGTGTTTAAAAAAAAAAAAAAAAAAGGAAAAGAAAAAAGAAAACTTCATTTTGTATGGTTACCTTGCATAAAGGAAATACAACATGAAACATGTATATATTGGCTTCAAACTCAGAATTGAAAATCCAAATGAATGAATGTTAAAGCAAGTCAGGTGGCTGAAATTCCAACAGTTAACCCCAGAACTGCCACAACTATGCTGGGTCTTGAGAACTATTTGATTCCTTCAAGTTGTATTGTCTTTTCCTTACAGTCCGATGAGAAACAGGTTGTCAGATAGTGCAACTCTGAATTTAACCTTACTCAGCACTTTTTAGGAGCCAATACTGCTGAAATGTAAGTCACCATGGGATGTAATATATGAAAGCAACTAAGAGCTGACTTTATACATAGATGGGCCTGGGTCTATTCACTTCCTATCTGTGCAACCCTTTATAGACCTCAGTTTTCTCATCTATAAAATGAGAATGACAATGCTAATCCTAAAGATTTACTATGAGCATTAAGCATAATGAGGCTTACAAGGAATATTGCAGAATCCTACTATTAAGCTATGAAACAAAAAATAAACTCTCAAAAAGGGCAATTATACAAAAAAATTAGCAGATACTTAAACTTAAAAAATGCCATGTGGCCTACATAAGAAGTATCCACAACAATTACTTATTTTAGATAGTATACACTCAAAAAAATATAGCAGAGGCAAAACAATATATCAATGTAAAGGCATAACAAATAAACATGTACAATTATTGAGAGATATTTGGGTAAGTGTAGAATTAATACATCTATATTTTTTCTTAATTTACACTATGTAGAGTAATGATTATCTGGCTAATTCATTTCTATATACAGTAAATATATCAAACAAAAACTAATCTCATGTTACAGTTAAGATAATATCAACTGAAGTATAAAGTTATTGATGTGAATAAGCAACATAATCCTGACAGATATTTGGGGAACAACTATTAAATACAAAGACAATTGGGATATTTCATAAACATCTGTCTCAAAATAAAAAAAATCAAAATACAATTTGCTGAGGCAGAGCTTTTTAAATTAATGGCAGCTTACTTTGCAACATAAGCAACACAAATGCTTTTTGTCCATTACAACTTATCCACACTAATAACAAACATAAAATTTACATCTTGATAATTAAAAATATATAGCAGCTACCTTCAATATCTACATAAAATTTATCTTTATCCAGCTATTTTTTAAAAAAACAAAGATACAAAATGCATAAATCTAAGGACTTGATATTTGAAGTTTATGTCACTTATTTTTCTTAAAAATGGTATGTCAAACATCTACATTATTTTATCCTGACTTCATTTTTTGTAAAAAATAGAAATAAACATTAAAACTTGGTTTCTAAGGCTGCTAACAAAGGAAGAATTCATATGTAGAGAGACTGTTACTTTGTACATGCTTTACTGAATGTGGTATATGAAAAAATTACCCTAATAGTCTAGCAAATTAACCAAGTTTATCAAATTTTCCAACTTGCTTTGGTCCCAAAAGATGTAGGCTGCTTCGCTTACTGTAGAAAAAATCCCAAAGAAAATTATTTAGAACACTGATGGTCACCAAATGGCTATCCTCTGATTTAGAAGGAAAACCTAAACTAAAAGATCCTATAATAAAGATATATGTGCATTTATATAAAATATTATATCTATATGTTACTTAAAGTATTTGCAATAAAAATATATAAAAGACATAAACAGTACCATCCCTGGCTCTGTCAAACAGTGAAAAGATCACTTTGGGTAGGAATTTTGCCCTTTTTGGTGTTTCATTTTCTTTACATATTACATATTTCTGCCCAATCCATCTTAAAAACATTGTGATGCTTAAGCAAGATAAAGAATTGGCATATTAAAAAAAAAAAAACATGAAGAACATATTATAATAGGAAAGCTAAATCACTTAATATGCAATATTAAAATGTCTAAGATAAGTCATTTCCTAATAAGAGCCTAATGCTGAGGTTATTGAGAATTTAATTTAAACTTTTGCTATAATAGAAAGTGAAAATCACTTCTTATTGCCACTTTAAGCATTATTCAAATTACTCTAATTTCATAGCCTGCTAGATCTATATACCAAGACATTAGCACTGAGAGAAGTTCTAACTTTACTATTTTCTGTGATACAGCATAGTTGCTGTTTAATTTTTTGTCTATTTATGAAATCATCTTTCCTTAAATACTCAACTTTTTGATTCTCTATCTCTTGAAAGCACCTCTACCTTGAAAACAGCCTGAAGGTTAACATTGACAAAGATCTTGTGTGTTCAGCTGTAGTCTCCTATATCGTGTTCCAATAGTCTTCATTTTATGACAGACTGAGCAAAAGGATGGCACAATATACACAGTAACACTAACCAGCATAAGCACAGTTGGTGGCCCAGGTTTATTTAAGAAAATCGGCATCTGTATTATGTTTTCATTCCAGTAAGCTCCTATTTATTTGCAAACACTACTCAGTTCCTCAAGCCAACCATGTTTTGCACTATCCCTGGCTTGCCAAGCCAATGTGGAGCATGACCAACTTTGCAATAACTACAGGCTCTTCTCTCCAAAAAAACGACCCCTTTTTAATGGCTTCAAAATCCTTTGACAGGACCTCACTAGTGGCACAAGGGGTTAAGCACCGCACTCTGAAGCAATCTGCAGCCTCTGCAGCACCAGGCAATCCCCAGCCAGCCAGAGAAACCCACATGGAGAAGTAGACCTCTCCTGCCTTGCCTCTCCCCTCAGCAGTGTATTTCTGCCAGTCTGTCTGTTCTGTTCTCCACTCTGTCTCTGATGAATTCTCTCACCCCCCGCATGAGTTAGAAAACTACCAAGTACCATCTTGCCTGTCAGAATGCCTTTCATTTCCTTTTGCCCACTAAAAAAATTGTTTAAATCTGATATTCTATGAAATATTACAGAATGTTTGCTTAGAATATACACATTTTCCTATCTTTATCAAAAATGAACTTTAAATATGAAAAATAAAATCTATGTAAAGCTTAAGAGTTTGGTAACTATGTTTTTAAAATAATAAGAGAGCTGCTTTTGTCCTGGCTTTGTTTTTAATTAAGAGGCTGTCACTAATCCAGAGAGTCTGGTTTAGTTGCTAGTAGACATTATTTTTAATCTGTAGTAATATATTTTCATTTGCAGAAAAACTGCATAATAGGTGTAAATTTATTCAATCTATTTTATGCGTTTATATTTGAGGCTGCCAAAGGATCCTGGAAGCTAGTGTAAGACTGCTGGTAGTGCTCCCAGAAGTTTCAGGCACACAACACACTGTGTTTTAAATAACCATGCATAAGTTTCTGCAAGCTGATAACTGGACAATTTCACAGTTTAGTTATGGATTGATAAATCTGATGAGTAAGCTCTCAAAAAAATACCCTGAGCTAGCAACAGTTCTGACTGGCAAGAAGACTGATCTCAGGACCTCCCCGGTGGCGCAGCTGATTCAGCGCAGCACCATGAAGCTGTCCACAGCCTCTGCAGCTGAGCGGGTTCAGTTCCTGGCTGGCCAGGGAGATTCCCACATGGCGAACCAGACCTCTCCTGTCTCGCCCGCTGCTCCCCTAGGCAGCGTATTTCGGTCGGTCTGCCTATTCTGTTCTCCGCTCTGTCTCTGGTGAATCCTTTCACTCTCCCACACATCTGGCCTATACCCCGGTTCTTGTATAAAAATAAATAAATCTTAAAAAAAAAAAAAAGACTGATCTCAGTATGACTAAAGAAAAAAAAATTAAAGTGAATTAGGGAATATAGCAACAGCCTAAATCAAAGGGTCCACTGTAAAAACTATGCCACACTGAAAAAAGAATAAGGGGTCTCCTCTACTTTCCTTCCAGAAATAGTATATGTTTATTGACTATGTGTGTAGTAAGGAGGTTGGGGGACAAGATATGTTTCACAATTATATTTAATATTCACAAATATATTTAAATTAAATCACAAATATATTTAATCAAAATATATCTAATATTAATATTGTGAGCATTACTGATATATTTTGTATTTAATCACAAATATTTAATAGATGTATTTTCTTATGAGGTATGTATTACACAGGACTTTTTAATTGCAAAGCTCATTTAACTGTATGCTTAAGATCTGTGTGTTTCACTCTATGTAAATTCTACCTCTTTTTTTAAGATAAAAATAAAATGTTTATGCAACTATCATATGATTTCACGATTTAACTAACTTTGAGTAAAGAAATTATAGTCACAGTTTCATCTGAATAGAGAGTATCTACTTAAAAGATTTCTAATCTCATTTTCTACTAATGCTTTTCATGCCAGTCACCTGAGTCTCCTGGCTGCCAAGATTTATCCATGTTATAGGATATACCAGTGTTTCATTTATTTTCTTGCCATAGCACCATTGTACATACATACCACATTTTATTTATCCATTTACCAGCTGATCCATATTTGGGTTGGTTCCACACTTTGGCTATCAAGATCAATGTGGCTGTAAACATTCACAAATTTTTTGTGGGGACATATGTATGCATTCTTTATTAATGAGATCACCCAATTAAATACCATTGCTTCTTTTATTCAATATACTTCCCTAATGATTTATACTTCACACACAAGGTAACCTGATCTGTTGAAATTTAAATTTAATTTGATTTCCTCTCTATCATGTTCATTGTTGACTAATGGTTTTCTATTACATTTAAAACATTCTCAATCCTTATGCTCACCTATAAAATCCAACCAAATATAGACCTTGAATGTCTTTCAGATTTCATCTTCGGTTTCTCACTCCATCACTTAATACACTCCAGAATCCCCACATTCCAGAATTTCACTACACAACTAGATTCCCCTGCTACCTGCATCACAGTCAACATAGGAAGTATCTGTAAGTTCTGTAAAAATGCCCTTACCCACTCATAATTAACCCATCCATAGGAACTATCTGGGTCAGAGTAAGATAATTTTGAAAAAGAGGTAAGACGC